AATTGACCAACTAACAAACCTAAACCCCATGAGGAGAGTGTAGCCTTTGCGCAGCCATGATCTTCCTACCAGCGGAGTTTCCAACACTGTAGATGGAAAACACGGATGTTAATGGAACGCCACGCTATTACATCAAAAGAGTAATCAGAATGTTTATGGTAGTTATCTGAACGGCATCGGCGATGGCAAAGGATCAACCGCGACAAGTTACCAGTTCAAAGCAAACATCACGACTCCACCACAAACTTCTGCACTACAAGCATTGATCTGGATTTGGCGGTCATCCGCTCGTATCAATGGAATAGAGACAAGTATATGGCTTGACTCGAAGGATCGACTCTAATATCGCCCCGAATCTGTTATAAGACTGGAGTAGTCATGGTGAGCATTTCCCAATAGTAGCTCAATGATCTAGATGTACTATTCCTGCTGATCGCAACTGTGGGCAAGAAAAGGAGAATGAGACGGTGAAACAAGGTAATTAGATTTGGACGTGGGCAAGAGCATCTTCTATAAAAACGGAAAGAGCAGATGAGTATAGATAATGGAGCTGATACAACATCTTCCTCTCATCTACTTCGCAGTTTTGCGACAACTCCATATGTCCAATAGTGTAGCTCTGTCCGAGCCACAAAAGAGTTCAAAGGATCAATTGTTTCTAGCATTTTAAGTTGCAGGGACCAAGAACAATTCAAGTATAGTGACAAACTTCATTCAACCATAGAAAAGTCCTAGCCTAGTGTTCGGGAAGTCCAAGGAGGATGGAGATTGCTAAAGCGTCACAGACGAAACACTCGTCGACAAAATGCCGATTTCACACCAACAGCTTAAAATAACTTCTTCTTATTAATGTACTAGATTCCATTAGCTAATACCCAACATTTAGCATGTGATCTCTGATATCGTGTGCCGGTATTGAGGACTTACACGAGAGATGCCTGGCCCAAAATTACAATAGCTCAGGGACTAGACCAACGACTTACACCAAAGAGACATGCATAAAAGTCCTGTTTCACTTCATCGAGTCACTATCTAAGCGCTTAGATTTAAGCACGCTCAAGCCAGACAGAAGCAGAGTCCGAAGGACAAAAGCTCCGAGTCATACTTACACCACCATCCAAACAACCAAATGACGTTGATCAACCATCTGGAACACCCTCAAACTGACTCAGTTCTTTCATGTGCTCTCAACCAAAGACATCAATGACATCAGGTGATTGCCCCAAACGCTCACCTCGGGTTTGACGCTTCCGCTTCCAGCCCAAGGCAGACTCGGAATGCCACACAGCGGTGAGCCACTCCGACCTGAGGCGCAACTCATTACCGCAATCTACTATTCCATACCTAATGCCCATCTACTCAATATCATGACGGTCAAAAACAGTCGTCTTTCTCCAATCATATGCCAGATAATTCCCTTAACAGCAACCCAGTGCGAGACATCTTCCCAGTAACCCACCTTTTCCACCTCAACCTCCTCGGCATGGGTAACGACGACGCATCGCCACAGTTAATCGTACGCCCCCATCCCATCCCATATCCAAGAAACGCTCCTCTAGCACGAAATGGCTGGGAAAATCACACATCAAACAGGCTCCTAATGACCAATAGTTCCATATCCCAGCCAAGGCTTCCACAAAAGTTCAAGAAAAAAGCACCCAATCTACGCGCTCCAAACCTCTAACACGGTGACTCTTTTCCATCTTCTGATGATCCCCCCCCTCTAGGCTCGCGTCACATAGAAAAAAAGAGAGAGAGAGGGTGGCACGTGAACACGTTGACGCGCGAGTTCGCAGGAAGAGAGCAGAAAGCGTTAACGAGAAGCGCGCAGAGACGCTTCGAATACGCGCGACGCTATTCGCTGGATTGACTTTTTTTACTTGCCACCTATTTTTGGCGTATCTGAAACCTACCGTGACCAGCTGCTGCCTGTCTTAGCCTCCTTCACGTCTTTTCACGTCCTCCTACTACTTTTTTTTTTCGCCTCACGACGCGGGTCTTTTTGATGCTTCGAGACGATTCGCGTAGAATAAGAGAAGGCTTCCAAATACACGCGTCTTTTCTGTCTGCCTCCCCCCCAACCACCCCATCAATTGTTTGGCTCAGAGCACGTTTTAGCTAAAAGGCAAGGGAGGGGGGGCGTGATAAAGTCGCCTCTCGTGAATCCCATTGCTAGAATACTACGTGCAAGCATGGAATTCTGCTTCCAGGTTGTGTTTTACGCGCCGTGGTTTGATAGCAAGCAGAAGCAGGCAGTGTAAGTCTGTGACTCACCAACCCCCTTGCCTCCCCCATGAACAATCCCCCCAGCCATCGCATTTGTTCGCGTCCCGAGAACCTGGGCCTCAAACATTTGGAAACTCGCAACTACCGGGTATCCATTTGCTAGCAAAATGAGTCGCTCTCGTCGCACTCAAGGTTGCGCCGCGCGTGGCTGATCGGAGAGGGTGTACGGAGTATGGAATATCAGAACTGGAAGCCCCGTTTTGTGCCTGATCCGGCCCTCCGTTTGCCAGAGTCATTGCGTCATGCTTGGATACTTTTTGTCATCAGTCGCAGCTACATCAGGGTAAGTTACTCCAATAGGCAAACGGAGAAATAAACTTATTGGAAAAAAACCAACAAAAACGCTCCCAGATCGACAAGCCAGCACGCCGCACTTGTTGGCGCCCAAATATAGTTGCCTGAGGACCAAAAACCGGCTCCGTTTCATAGTTTCATATGGGCAGGGCGCTATGACGTAACGCCGCTTGTGCCCTGGGCGTCGCAATTGTGGCGGCGGTCCCGGCCGCTCGGCCGAGTCACGTGCAGCCCGGACCTGAGATCACATGCACAGCCACCCGGCACTCCACTCCACGTGGCTGGACGAGCCCATCTCTCTTCTCTCCACGCCGTCTCTTGTGCTTTGAGCTTGAGCAAGCTCCAGAACGCCCGTCCCGCTGGCTCCCGGGGGCACGCGATCTAGGTTACAAGTGCCCCAGTGCGTGGCGGAGAGTTTGGCACTGGAGACGCAGGAAAAGAATTTTTTTTTTACATCTTTTTACATATCCTTGTTTGTTTTGTGTTGTGTCTAACATTCAGACGGGAGGCTGAGTTTTTCTTGCGCGTCTTAGACAAGGTTTCCAGCCTCGCATTACGCGGAATGGGAATCAGCTTTGCGTCCACCTCAGCCAGCCCTGGTATGCATGCCGCGGCACTTGGAAAATTTTTCTTTCTTTCTTTCTTCTCTCACAATTTTCAAGGGTCAAACGAGATGTGACGAAAGTGTCGCGGGGGAACGGCACTAGAAAAAAACTTCTGCGACTGTGATCCGTCGCGAAATGCGTGTTGCCGTCACCGCCTCCGTAATAGATTGTCCAAGATGGGGCGGTCTAGAAAGAAGCAAAACGTGTCGCTGCATGATAAATGCCACCTAGACTCGTCTAAGCCATCTTGTGTCCGGTGCAAGTGCATTAGCATGAGCGATCCCTTTGCTATTTACAGCAACCATGTCGTTAATGCGCCCCCAAAAAGACCACCAAACAAGCCATGGATAGCATGACAAAAGCTTTGACAGATCCAGGTGGATTCCATTTGCTTGCCCACTCTGAGCCTTGTATCGTACGGAGCACAGCATGACAATAGTGGGGGGGCAACATCTCAAGGGAGTGCAGGTATTGGTATCGCAGCATCCTGTGCCGTGTACAATGCCAATTCGGTCCGGCAGTCGTGTCCAATGGAATGAATTAAGGCTGCGCGAAGGACGCAAAAATAAATTCAAATAGAACCGGACACTACTTGCGCCCTGTTGTTGCCCAATACCGTCGCAATAGTACCAAGGCCATGGGCGTACAACAACGTGCCACACCACTCTAGAGCCACGATATGGCCCCGTCCAAGGCTGTCCTGTGTACTTAATTTCACAGCAAAGTTTTTTTTTTGGTATTGATTGCAACAAGGCGGGAGTCTAGGCCCATCTGTTTGTTCGGGTAGACAAGGCGTAAACAAGTCGCATGGCCGCCCACACAGGCCTTCGGCACTGCTGGTGGTATTGCTGCCGCATCGTAGGGCACGAATCAGCAGTGGCCTGAACTAGATAATGTAGAGAGGGGTGCTCGAACAAAGGATGGGACGTAATACTAGCACACAGTATTTGCAATCCTGAAATGGACCCCCATTTGCGCATCGTGCATGCAAACAACCATTGGCGACAGTCAGAAAACGGCTTCCCGTAGGGCACAGGCATGTAGGGCTTTCGTACCCTCTCCTGCTCACCCTCATGCTCACGCTCACGCTCACGCTTATTCAACGACAAGACGTGACACGTGCGTCGCGATTTTAGGGTTGATGCAGGTCTGCATCGCGATCTTCATCTGGATTGTTTCCGTTTGCATGAACGAATAGTATACAAAGGGTAGCACAGAGCCTCCCCTTCCAGCCGCAAAGAGGGCTACCTGATGGATGCGTCCGCGGCTTGGGCATGAGGCTGTCAGTGATGGCGGCTCGCTGCTGGATTGGGCTTGGGCACCGCCGGGCTCTCACCGCGGCCGTAGCACCATCGTATGCTTGATATGATATGACAGGGCTCGACTTTACCGTGTGCGGATAGACACCAGGCAAGGTGAGCTGCTGGCATAGCACCGATCATGAGCCACCTGCTGCCGTAAAAATCTCCTCAACAGGCGCATCACTCACTACTTGGACCAAGTAGGTAAGGCCATCATGTGGTCGAATTCCACCCAAAGTCCATATCTCACGCCTTCTCTCCAAACACTCCCGGCGGATCTAGGATGATCTAAACATTGCAAAATAACACCAGTTTGATATGTTTCGCTTCACAAAATTCACCCCCGGTATTTGCTGTCCCGGCCAACGTCGATGCATCAATGGTCGGTGTATGGGCGGTATGGGCGGTCCAATGTCGTTTTCTGATTCCATCAGATAAGCAAGACTAGGGATGCGTCCTCACCGGATTTTTCTCTCCCGTGTACTCGTACGTGAAAGCCTGAGGCTCACAGAAGTCAGGTCGCGGCCACCTGCTCATTGAGGCTTGGGATAGAGGCACGGATGCCGTTGCGCAGAGATCTGGCTTCCATCATTGTGCATCGTCCCAATGCATCTCCCTCCCTTCTCGCGTATCAGAGCTGCGCAAGAGTTTTCTTGCTTTCCCACTAGGCGTCCGTTGTCGCAGATGGCCTTGCCCTGTTTGTCGTCCTCGCTACTCAAACGGACCAGTGAGGTGCGTCTTGGACTCTCGTCATGGTGCGCGGGCCGGGTCAAGAAAATTTTCTTATCCCCCCTCTCAGAGATCGTACGTCTTGCATGAAAGTTAAAAGAGTCGGTCAAGAACAGGCAGGGCTACTGTAAAGCCACCTTGGTAGTCCGCACCTCCAAGATGGCCTGCCTGCCTTATTTTTTCGGCAAGGAAGCGGAAGCGCCAAAGGCTGTTTGTGGTGTTTTTGATATTCGCAAACAAGTCTTGACTAGTGAATGAATGGGTGGGTTGTTAGCCTCGAGTTGGCGATTTCGCTTAAAGACGACGCTCTTTAGCTGCTCGAGGGGTGTGTCGTGAAGAGCCAAAGGCTAACGGGCATAATCCCTGCATCTAAACCAGGTGGGGCTCTTCTCTTCGCTCCCTGGCTTGTCTTTCTTCGCACTGGAGGCTAGGCAAGGATGCCATTTTCTTGGTGGCGTTTGCGTGAAACTGGGGGTGAGAAGCCAGCTGCCAATCGGCGCCCAAAAATGCTGCAGCTCAAAGCCCGATTCGACAGCCGCAGCAGCTTTGGACATCAATACAGCTCTGGCGCCCAGCGATTGGGAGATAATACATACGAAGTGACCGGGCAGCGCTCGCCTATGAGTCACATTCCGCCTCGTCGGATTCATCAGATGGAGATGAAGCAGAAACACCCGCCCAAGCAAAGCCAGGCAAATGGTTGCAAGGAGGCAGCCAGCAGCGACGCAAAGACACGAGAATTGCTTGGGTTTGATTGAGGGACGGCCCATGAAATGAGATGTTGAAAATTTTTTCACTTGTCAAACAAGGGACGGGCAAAGGCCAAGCCCTAGTGGCTTCTAGGCAGCCTCTTTTGGCCACACCCTCCGGCACCAGGGATCCAAGGGAGGACGGACGATGGTTGGATGTGGGAGAGCAAGAGGGTGGGCCAGCGAGACCAGCATCACACCGGGACCATCTTTCAAGGTGTGCATCGTCGTTCTAGAAATCGGCTAGGACCCGGACAAGGCCAAAGCAGCCAATCCTGCGGCGGCTACGGCTCCCGTCCGGAGACCGTCCAAGTATGGAGTGCATGTTGAAGGGAAGAGGAGCACAGTCGGTGAGGGATGCGTTGCGTTGCGTTGCGTTGCATACCGTAGCGTAGCGTTGGGCGTCTGACATTGTCGAGAGGTTGGATCCTCCAGTCCTTTGAAGTCGTACCTATCAATCAACATGCCATGATGGAACGGCAAGAGGGTGTGCAGTTTTGTGTTGGTGCTGATGACAGAGGTGGCCTTTTCGTACGGACTTTCCAGTAGGTGCCGAGGTACTTGGCTGGTGTGTAAAACTAGCAGTAATGCTGTACTGTACTGACGGATCGATCGGGTCGGACGACCACGACTACACGAAGAAAGAGGCCAGAGAAAAAGATCAACGCGCTGAAGAAACTAAAATATCGGTAGTGTCGGGGATGGCATGTGTTTCGTGCAGAAAATGCCGATGCGAGTCCGTCTCGCAGAACTTCCTCGATGCAGCTGGACAGACCAGTCACTGGAGCTGGGCGACGCAGGTACGAGGTTGGCTCGCACGACACAACGGCCAAATATGGGATGGAAGCATGAATCAAGTTGCGTTTGTACATACAAGCGCGAGTACGAGTACTGTACAGTACAGTACAAGCATGGGCTCTCATGAACTGAGCAGAGTAGAAGTGAATGTACAAATGGAAGTAAATGTTCCATACAGTGTGCCGTGCCTGGCGCTGGTGGAAGTGCGCGGGAACGGCTCGCTGCGGCGGCGTGGATGCTTTTGGGGCTGCGAGCTCCCGTCTTTGTGGGACAGCCTCCGGAGGTCCCACCCGGTGCGGTGGGAAGAAAAGAAAGACTGGAGATGGCTGATGAGCGAGGGTTGACAAGTCCCACTCGTTAGTTTCTGGTACGATTAGCCCAGAGCTTAGTCGTTAGGAGAGCGCGGAGGTGGAGGTTGCTGTAATGCTGGAGGGTACGAGTACGAGCACGATAACCGGTCTGGTGCATTCATATGAAGAATCTTGGAGTGTCCCGACCAACGCTCCAGCAAAAGTCAAACTGCCATCGGTGCTAATTCATCCACTAGCCCCCGGAAGCCCTGCCGCGGTCCCAGGGCCCTCTGCAGCCGGTGCATTAGGCCATCGGCTGTTCGTTGGGGATTGAAAGCATCCATCATCACTTCCTCAAAAGTCGGACTGTATACGAGTAATGCGTCGCTCTTGTAACGGCATTTGGCCCCCTCAATCCTTTCACGCAGAGGCATTCGCGGTAGGTTTAAGGTTTGTCTAAGCCACAGCGCAAAAGATGCCCGTCTCATGGCCCTTTTGTGTCCAGGGGGAATGAACCTTCATGTCTGAGCCATTGCACCCTTGTGTACTGTACCTACTAACACTGCATGATCACGAAGCGAGAGAGAGAAAGAACAGGGCCAAGAATCAATAACAAAAAAAAAGTTTGTGCGCCCTGTTATACCGTACATCTCGTCTAGATATCAGCAAACGGGGCATAAAGAACAGCTCGCCAATCACAACGACGAGCTGTTGGTGATAATACGGAGAAGGATTAATCCCAGCAATATGAGTGCATACGCATATGTAGGTACCTGTAGGTGCGGACGCAGTCGTGCAGTAGACAGTCTACACCGTCAAGAGAGAGAGAAGACTCGAACACTAACAATGTCCATGCTTTGTGCTAGCAGAATTTTCCAAGCAAGGGCAGCCGTCCCCTTGCCGCATCCTTCAAGCGACTGGGCTGCGTCCATCACAAAAATGGTGTCCTCTGGTAGGCCCGGCTTCGTGATTGGCGCCGTGTGGCGAAAAGCCACGCCTGGAACGGCCCCTGTCAGAAGCAACATCTTCTTGAGTTTGCGGACGTCGGTGCGCCAGGCATAGGCGAGAAGAAGACAATGGGAGAGAGGGAGAGAGAACTGGAGCCCGCTCTCGAGGCGAGAATATCCAGGCCAGGGGACCCCAACCCAAGTCGAATGACGATAGAGTTGATGATGTACAAGTATGACATGTAACATTCTCTCGCGGTCTCTACTGTATTGTTGGGAGGAGCACAGAATGCTTCGTAGCGCCGACCAGGCGATGATCAGTGCAGCCTCGCCTCTTTTTCTTTTCTAGCCTGGAAATCGAGATTCTGTCCTCATGGCCGGCGCATGGCTGGCAGCTGGAAATCACCCCATTCGCCCACCTCCAACACGGCCCTGCAACGGTTGGCACGTTTCGGCCTTGTAATTGCCGAAGAAGACACTTGACCTTTTCGCACCGGCCTCGGCCATGCAAGCGATTAGAGTAGCAGCGCGTATGACCATTTTACCTTTGAAGTCACAGTCGGTATCCCAGAGGAGTTATTAATACGACTACAACAAAAAGGGAAAAAGAAAAAGAAAAAAACGGCGGTGCTTTTCCATGCGGGTTGCCAAATGGAGATGCACGTCACATGCAGGATTTGTAGATGTGCACTCCGAACTCTGAGCTTCTCCTGGATCTGCATACGAACTACGGGAAAGGATTTTCGTAGGTTCACGCACGAGTAAGTGTACGAGTACTCGTAAGCTCTAGAATGCCACTTAATATATCATCCATCATCATCCTTCCTTGTTTGGGTGGTGATGGCTGCGGTTGAATGGATGTAATTCCCAGGTACGGAGCACTATGAAGCAAGTATTACAGCACTTCGGAGAGCAATAGAACCTCCCGTCCTACGTTGATCCTAACCACCTACTAACCATGGTAGGTACTAATTAATGTAAGTCATTGGCGAATTAATTACATGCAACCCCAACAATTGAGTTTTGGTAGCATCCTAGCTCGAAACCCATCAATCTACGGGTATGCAAGCACCGTCGTAGTCTTCACGCAAGCACTCAAAAACCGTGAATGTCAACGGCCTTGCGGTTTAACCGCCACAATCAGCCCGGAGCTCGGCGCTTCTCAGCACCTCCCGTCACCAACGCCGCACCACCATCTTGACGCACTGCAACGCCAGAAGCGACGGTTGTGACGGCGGAGCGGATTACGAAGAAGCCAGCTCTTGTTCCTTCTGAGCGATATACGGACAATCTATCGATAGTGCCCGTCACACAGCTCGAAATGCGGGCCAATCAGCCGCTGTGTGTGCTGCGGACAACGTGCTGCCGCCAACCATCTCGATGCGGCGCCCATGTGACGGGAAGCACTTGTGCCGTCTCAGTGATTGTGATGAGCGAATACTCGCCAGCCAGAGCCATCTTTTTGCGCTGCTTGACAAGTGGTCACAGGGCTGATGTGCGATGCAGATGGGCGCTTGCTACGGGTTTGTGTGTTCTAGGCTGCGTTGATGATTGCGTCCTTGTCGGCGCTTCCCACCATCCTCCACACATCCTTCAACTTTGGAATAGAGCCGTCATACGTAATGCTGGGGGCCGGCCGGGTTGGTGATGGATGACAATGGTGATGATAAATACGGCGCTTCCTCCTCTCGCTCTCGTTCGGCCGGCCTGCCTCCGCCCCGGACAGATGGTCGAGGCCGACGAGGGTAGTAATAAGTTTGCCGTAAGCCACCAGAACCAGAGGTGATGCGCATTACGATTACGCACTGCCCATCATTCATGCTTGTCATTACCCGCGGCGCAAATATCAGTCTCCGTCGTCCCCAACTAGTCCAAGCCTCAGACCACAAACATTACGCTTTGTTTCTTCGCTGAGCCCGAACGAGAGCGTGAGTCTACTCGTATTGTACGAAGGACGCATAATCAAATCTCAGCCTGCGTGTCTGTACCATTTATCGCACAAACCGTTCCGGAAGCTCTTGCGGCACTAGCATTACTCGCGCTCGCAACAACTTCATTTGCCTCTGGGGTGCATCGATATTGCGAGCTGTACCAGCCGTGCACGTCCGGTTCTTTTTCGACGCGGCCGATTAGCGAAAAGACTGCGAGTAGGAATTGCAAGGACTTTATTTGCGAGCCGGGTGGAAAAGCAAAACACCGTGAGTTCGCACGCTTTGTGCATTTGCTGCGCGCGCACAGGTCCGGTCTCTAAAAAAAAATTGAACAGGGATTCAAAATTGCCTTGCATCCAACTTCAAGGCATCGACGGCTTCGGGCGTTTGACACCTGCCCATCCGGAGAAGAACCAGCAGGGAGACAAAACAACCATTAGAAGGAAGAAAAACTTTTCAGAAGTCATCTTCTTCCCTTTTCTCACCGAGAAAATACAAGACAGCTGGTGGACTCCCCAGCCGCAGCGGAAGCTAGGATTCATTACCCCTAGGCTCCATCATTTCGCTTATCCAGTCCCGGTAAATTGGACTGGGGAGCGCTCAGTCGCATTAGAGCCAGGGCCACGAGTCGTCTGTCTGCAATCGATTCGAGATACGGTACCAGCACAAAGCACACACAGCTAGGGCAACCATCGTCAAACCCTGGCACATCCAAGGCCGCACAGCGTGCAAACCCGGAGCATCTTTTCACGCCACTCGGAGTGCTCGTGCTTTTCTGGGTGAGCGATACGAAACCGAAAGGCTGGCTCGGTGGTTGGTCGTCCAGTAAAGAGTCATACTCGCAACGGGCTTCTGGGAGCCCCTAGAGCCCGTTCAGCTGCGCAAGCCGGCTGAATCGCCCCCCCGAGCAAGATCCAACGCCGGCAGACTGCCGTCAAATCAAGGCCAGGAAGCGCAGTCGGGCTGCCTCTTGTGCGCGGAAGCTGCTGGAAGCAACAGCTCGCTGGCCCCGGTCTACGCTTGGGTGCAACCATACAAAAGTGCAGTACGAGCGAGGAATCCAGTCCAGGTCCAGTCAGCAACATCCATCATAGGCTCCGTGTCGGGCGACGCTTCGAGCACTGTGTGGCATCCACGGGAAGGTTCCACAGTGACTAAGCCCCGATATCCTCACGCCCCCTCCACCTCCCACCGACCTCGTTCAGGCCCCCTGTCCCCTGTCGCATGCCTGTGGCTGCCCTCGTCTCTCACTAAGAGGCCTGCTCCCTGTCTGGTTCTGGCTCAACGCCCACCAAGGCAAAATTTGTTGCGGCCACAATATATACCTCGAATGCATGCCCGCACACCCGACTCTTGCTTCTTCCTCTCTCCGACTTACGCATCTGATCGTTTTGGTTCTGGCATCTGCCAATGAACCTCATCTCCACCTGCAGCATTGCATCGTCCAACGCCGACGACATCCACCATCACCTCACCTGCTGTCACGCTCTTCACGGGTCCCCAACAATTGCCACAGCCAGGCCGCCGCGTCGGACTCTGGCACTACCACTACCACCCAAGGGGGATACGATAAAAACGATCCTGTTGTAGATTGGTCATGTTTGACGCAAGACGTAATAACTCTTTCAACTTTTACTCTTCCGACTACATACCAAGGTGACGGGCTTTTTTTATTGCTCTCTCTCTCACATCTTTAATATCACACACCCATAACCTCCCACGTCCCCCATTCCTTCACCGAGAGCAGACAAGGCTTTGAGCAAAAGCGTCTCGAATCTTGTCCACTTTCAGTCTTACCTTGCGTTTCGAACGAAGCAGAGAAGCATATCCATTCAACGATACGTCGCCAGCTCCTTCATTGGAGGAGAGGTTGAGGAGCGAAGTGTCACAGTGGACATTGCAAGAGGAGCAGTCACAGAATGAACTACCCATCACCACGAACACCTGGATCGACTCCGATCCACGAGTGGGAATATACACGAATGTCATCCGCCACTCCAACCCCATCACCGCGGCCAAGCTGGCTCGAGACAACGCCTCGACGCCCGGCAACGCGTGCAGCTCACAGCCGGGCCAGCAGCTATTCTCAGGCCGGCGCATCTACGCCTCGGGCTCCAGTAGATTCGCCCCGATACAACAGCTCCGGCCAGTATGCCACGGTTGATGTGAGTCCCAAATATTTTTCGTCGTCGCGCGGGCCCTCCGGGTCGTTTCAAATTCCTGCCTGGCACGACCGCCGATTCTCTCACACCTATGTCCGGGCTACAACTCCGTTTGGAGAATCCGACGAGGACGAGATCTTCGAGGCTTCGGGGCGCACCTATGTGTTGCTTGCCGAGTCGCGAACAAAGGGTCGCAGGAATTCGCATCATGTTCAAGATTATGAAGGGATACGGTACACTAATCACGACGACTACCCACAGGGTACCGCCGCTTACTACGCCGACTACAGCCGTGATGCCTACGACTCTCCGCAGTCGCACATCCCCCCTACTCATGTCCGACCTCCCACCAGCCACGGCCACGCCCGCCGCTCATCGGCTGCTGCCAATGTTCCCCAAAGACCATCCACCGTCCGTCCGTCGACTCAGGCCTACCGCACAAAGGCGGCTGCTGCCGCCGCGACGACACCCAAAGCTACCGAGGCCGATGCTCGAAAGCACCGGATTCCCACGGGCTACTCGCTCAAGAACTGGGACCCTTCAGAAGAGCCCATCCTGCTCCTTGGCAGCGTCTTTGACGCCAACAGCCTGGGCAAGTGGATCTACGACTGGACCGTTTATCGAGCGGGTGCCAACTCTCCCATTGCCGACATGGCGGGCGAGCTCTGGCTCCTGCTGATTCAACTCTCCGGCAAGGTCAAGCGCGCGGAGGACATCGTTGGCCGTGTTCGCAGCACCGAGAACCGAGAGATCATGACCGACTTTATTGACGCCGGCGAGCGTCTCACAGAGAAGCTCCGCGGACTGCTCAAGGCCTGCGAGGCCCCTATGCTCAAGGCTGCGAAGAAGAAGCAGTCGGGTCTGGGCAAGAACTCGGGCGTTGAGTTCGTGGACACCCTCTTCGGCCGCGACCGAGAACTTGCCAAGACCGAGAAGTTTATGCAGAGCGTGAGGCTCTTCAGCCTCAGATTCGATGCCAACTGTGAGGGCATTCTGCAAAACCCATCTTCCTAAAGGCCATTTTTTGGTTATTTTACTTTCGCTACCTTACTGTGAGAACACTATCAATTCCCACAATCCAGGATAATCGACCCCCCTACAGAGGACTGTTCCGGGAGCGATCCATTAAAGAGGAGATGCATATGAATTTGCCCTGGACTATGTTTTTCATATGACCAAGCGTCTCACGTATCCTTTTTAATCTTTCCTTTAATTGTTAACCAATTGGCAACTTCCCTAGGATCCCGGACCATCGAAGTTGAATAATGGCCCACTCCACCGGATGGAATGGCCCAAGAAAGACGCAAGACTGTACACTAATACTATTGCCTGTTTTTGTTCTCGTCCGGAGATTTCCTATGGATACCCAATCTTACGGACTCTTTATTTCTATTTCCTTTGTTCTGAAACTCGGTCTCGGAGCGATGCATGGCTTTTACTTTCCTTTCCTTTTCGGTTATTCAAAAGACAGATTTCTTTTAAGGGCGACCTGTACTACCACCAATGCACACGGGGAGGAGACACCGAGACACGGGGCATTTTTCCATCTAGAGATACCCAGCGTTATCATTTCGGGCGCGTCGCAAGCAAGCGGAGGAGGAACGAGCTGGGAGGAGCAAAAAACAAAAGCGACAGCAAGGTGGCGAGGTTGTCTGTTTTACATGACTTTTATTGACTGATTATCTTTCTTTTTTTATTTCTTTTCTTGGGTTTAATGTGCTGCGGCAGCAACGATTTTACAGAGTGTTTTTTTTATTGAGAATTTTGAGATTGGGAATACTAGATGGAGGACTTTAGTTTACTGCAAAATGATGATGGCTTTGATGAGCTCGAATATTTATCCCCCTCTATATGAACTTTTCAGGCTCCATTCGTGTGATACTGTGTATGTCTCCGACGTGTCTTTTTTTTCCCACTGCAGCCTTTTGTGGAGTGATGCGGTAGGGGTTTGCCCTGTATGTATGTAGGTAAGAGTGTGGATAGCGGTCTATCTCCCCTTCATGTCTCGATGTAAAATGCAAAGCCAGTGGCTTGTTAATATGAAACTGGAGGCCACACGATGTGTATCCTCATAGGGCGATAAAGCTCCGTAGAAGAGACGTGTTGGAATACGGCATCAGCCCGCCGTTACAATGCTGAAGAGATGTCTTGGCGATGACGTCTTTCCACGTCTCTCCAAGGGCGGTTTGCCACGTCTCTCGTCTTTTATTTTACGTGTACTCGCCGTTTTATTCATTATGTGGAGTTGTATATTAACGAAGGGGGTTTGTAGGTGGTAGGTAATGATGGCTTTGAAGAGATGGGTTTGTGGTATCCTATCTTTCTGGGGGATGGATAATTACTTAGGATTAGGCAGACGAATTGAATGTTTCAGGATTCTCTTTAGGTATACTGTTGTTGCTTTTGGCTTTGGTTTTTACGTTGCTACTGGGCTGGTTTGGGGGTACGAGTACGAGGATTGCTTGAGAATGTTGTGTGTACCTGTGTGTGGCTTCTATGGTGTAAGTTGTGTGTTATAGTGAAGATTTACTGTTTGGGATGATCGAGAAAGGCTGTAGGTGGATGCTGTAGAATGGCTGGTGTGTTTGGTGCTGCTGCTTCATGCAGATCTGGTATCAAAGCTGTGGCAACTACCTGTAAGCTAGATTGAGCATCTGAGAAGCATTCAGACGACTCACAGCAGTAATGACAAAGAAGAAGGTTGGTGACTTGCTTCGAAGGCGGCATGAACTCGTCGTGCTTATTCGGAGGCTGTGCTTGTCTCATCTTCATGTCTCATAGTCAGGATCTACAAGTTCCCGTTTGTCTCGCGGGCAATGGCCAAGTCAAGTATGACAGCTACAGACGTCCCCTTCAAAATTTTCTTTCTCTCTCTCTTTCACTCATGTCTCGGGGTTTCAACTGGAATCATGATGGGGTTTTTCATAGCTACGGTACGACAGTCCATGGCGCAGAACCAGCCCCCCATGTCTCAATCATCAGCCTCGTAGTGCGCATCAGGCTGGAATGCCTGCTCAGCAAGAAGCTATTCATGCATGCATAATGGATTCCCATCCTCAGCCTCACTTGACTCATTTTTTCTTCTTCCTGTCGAATGGCAACCCATCAATGCAGCTTCTGTATGGTCGACGTCTTTTGGGGGAGAAAAAGGGAAAAAAATAGAAAAGGCAGCAGGTTTCAATCGAATGAAACTGGCTAATCCAGCCGCCCACGTCCGAGCCGAAAGAGCCCTGCACTGTACGACGGGAATATTGAAGCGGATCCCATGTCGTTTTTTTTTTTTTTTTGCGCAACAGAAAGAGGGGAGAGGAGAAGAGTCTTGCATTAAGCACACTCCCCCTCCAAGTTTTGTGTTTGCTTTTTGTCTTCTTCCTTGGATGGTGCTGGCTCTCGTGCGGAGAAGAGCATGCGTTTGCCTAGGTGCGTAATGCGGCAGGCAGTGGGTTTGTTGGTGTTCTTTGTCTCCTCTCTGCCAGGATGTTTTTTCCTTGTTTTCTTTTCTGGGCGTTTAGGTGTGCCCTGCTACTATTACTTCAGGCCATGTCATTAGGACAAGTAGGAATGGGGCTGCATAAGGCGGCGGAAGAAGAGACGAAAAGCCTCTTTGTCCTTTGCGTATCACCAAGAGCTTCGTACAACAAAGCGTCTGGTTCTATTTCCGTTGGAGCCACAGGATTGTGTCACCGAGAGACACATCACATCACATCACTCTACATGGCACTGGCCGCTGCGCTGGCTGGGTATCACAGGGTCTCAAGCGGCTCACTCTCAGCCCTGTCTTGGGCCCACGGAAAGATAGTGGCCACGGCATGAGATGAATGCGAGAGTATTTGCGCATGGCATGGGGGGCATGGCGTGTGTCTCTTCTTCTTCTTTTCCTTCACCTTGTCGAGACCCCCTCACTTTCAGCCCGATTTGGGGCCTGAACAATTCCACTAGCCATGTCATAAAAATGATGATACAGAGTTATTACCTGGCTAAGGTAGGCAAGGGCGGCGCTTTGATAGGTCGTTGGCTCCCAAAAAGCAGATGCATAAGTTAGGTTGGGCATCTGTATAAAAAAAAAAAAAAAAAACCGACTGGGATGGGCCCATTTGGATTCGGAGCGCCCCGAAAGCCGCGATTAACCAGCGCAGCCACCACGCGGTGCCTCAATAGCGTGGTTTGCTGAATTGCTGAACTGCAAACTGTTTGGGCGCTTAGGATTGGACCGTGGAGGATGACTTGCATAATCCGACTCACCTGACGGGCTCTGCAGCAGCGAAAGAGGGATTTGCGACTGGGGAGGCCAATCACGGCCGGGGGGTGGTTTAATGGCATGCATGTGTACGGTGGGAGTTGTTCTGGGGACAAAAGTCTTCTCTCGTCATCATTGCCTTTTCGTCTTGCTTCTTTGCTCCATCTGGCGGGAGGAGAAAAAAAAAAAACAGGGCTGCGGCCGTGGTTCATGCCGGGGGCTGTGTGTTACATGATGACAGGAATCCCAAGACATGGAATGAGAAATGCAGGTCCATGTGCGCCGTAGGGCGATGGGATGAAAGGCCGGAAGCACGCAAACTGCCCCAAACGGCGCTGTCTTCCATGCATGACTGCGTGAAGGAGTCTGACGTCTTACGTGCTCACTGGCTGAGCAGACATGTTGCATGTAGTCATCCTCAAGATCACCATCCCGTACAGTAACGCATTGTCAGCTCTCGACTAGCACACGCACAAGCGAGGGGGAAGAGGGCACGGTGTATTCCATATCTCCCCCCTCCTTCTCCCCTCACCCGCATTCGACTGGGAATGTAACCTGGAGATACCGATGTTGCACAGATGCCAGATTTGCTCAGAAGCCCTTTCGACTTGGGACGCATATGCGCACGGCACGCTGCATATATTGGCTTCAACCTGGCGCAGCACATGTCTGTCGCTCTATACCGCTAAACTGCTGCGGCCAGCCAGACAGGGCCCCCTTTTCGTCGCCCAGCTGCAAAGATGATGCTGAGCGATTGTCCTGCGCCTACCCGTATCCAGGCCATTATTGACGACCGACATCAATTTAATGTGGTAAGCAAAGCGAGTGGATGCTCCACTTGTTCGGCTCTTCTCTCTCTCTCTCTCTCTCTCTCTCGCTTGTGCGCCTCGTATTCCGTGATACTGCTTCCTTCGTGTATCTTTACGAACGTCTTTAGTGTCGAAAGAGCCGAAATTGGAGCGAGCTATCGAGCAATGCCCCGGCGCAGATCTTCGGAGGTGCCGGTGGGCGGGGCCGGACCGGAGGTGAAGGTGCCGGCTGAAGTCGGACGTAGCCGAGATGGGAATCGTGACGCAATGAAGAGGTTGTAAGAGTAAAGTGGCATTGACTCACACTAAGAGATACGTGCTATAATCTTGTACCACAAGAAATGACTCTCTAGGAGGGTCTATCTTTATATCCCATTTTTTCAGACTTGGATTGTTAGTAGAATGTGTGATACAGCCTCCATTGGGCAAGGTAGTAATGACAAATCGACTAACAACTTCATCATCTACTTTTAAATGGCCTTACGAGTCTATTGATATATAAATGTGAAGCCAATGGGCTTCTCCTACTTCGTGGATGATATATCGTACGTAAAATTCGTGAGCTTCAAGGCGTATATCTAGAGAATGCAATCAGCTCGCGGCGATATTACTTGGCCTGTATACTTGTTGATCCTCTTCCAACTTCTCTAGTCTCTTAGTTTGGCTTAAGAATGAGTATATTTGGATAGCTCTCGCAATCATGTTGTGAACTCCTATTAGTAACAGAGGAATATGCAAAAGCAAGATTGAAGTGATTCTCAGTTCCAGGGCGAAATGTTGTAGACTAGCCTTATATTGCTCATGATCCCCTCATACTGACGCAACTTTCCTGAATCTACCAGTAGTTTTCCACAATATTTAGTATTTCTTTTTGTCACATTCTCTTACTTCTATGAAAACTTGTCATATGAATTCACTCTACTTCATTATCGCTCGGGAGGAAAAGCTTGAAAATATCATATGACTAAAGTGTGTTGGCATGGTTAGTCTTGCGAACAGTGGTATAAATTAACCGTTAATAGAGTTGATCATGTCTGCTACAGTACTTCTATAACTAGATTTAGCTCACGCTCTCAAAATAGACGCTTCTCCTTGTAGTCAATGGCAGTCGGGTCCCGATATCTAAGCAATACTCGAGACGAACAAGAAAGACAGCCTCGCTCCATCAACTAGCGAACAGAACAATCCGTCCCTTCTACTTCGCGAATGTTGGGTATTTTAATAAGAAGTTATACATTTACTAGACACGTAGGTAGTCTGAAACACATGATGAACTCATTCTTTGCTTCATTATTAAACTATGTACATCTAATTGGTATCATTTAATTTCAAGATCCAATGGCTCCAGAAAGCATAAATCATGGGTTCTTGATAACTTTTGAAACTTTTCTTCATGCGATGTGAAATTCCTTCACTCATGCGCTTCAAATCGTACATGCGCAGACAAGCAAGTCGTCGCGAACATCTTCCCTATCCCCTTTACCTCTTGTTGTAGTTGACGAATCGGCTCTAAAGAAACAAAGTTAGCAAACTGGATCAAATTGTAAAACGGAAAATGAGGAAAACATACACCCAGATAGAGAATGGTAATGTTGCTGACGACGAAGCAGAGAAAGATACCCAAGTCTCTCCAGCGGTGGTCGAAGCTCAAGCTCAGTGGGGTGTAGAACTCATCGCCAACCTTGTATGAGCAGTACTCGCAGTTTGAGGTGCTGTTGGAAACGAGATATCCCGGGGCACCCCTTTCGAAGAAAGGCTGCATGTAATCACCGCAGGTTGTACCGTTAGGGGCGGTGAATCTGTTCAGCTCGCTGGGCTTGCAAACGACTTCGAGTCCATGGAGTGCAGTGGTAACACAAGCACTGATGAGACGAGTGAAAGGATCGAGCTGGTAGAGCCACACACGCCAACCCTTGGGCATCTGTGCATACGGAATGGTAACACCACAGAAGAGGGCGAAGACAATGGTAATGAAAGGATCAAACTGGGTAGAGACACGAGGTGAGGGAGTAAGCGCGGAGAGACCTTGGCCCAGGGTGACAGCGAACAGTTCTGTGATGAGAACCATGAAGAACTGGAAACCGGCACGCGAGGGGTCGGTTTGGAAGCCAGGCATGAAGTACAAGGGCAGGTAGAAGGAAACCGCACAGAGAACAGAGTAAGGCATCTCAGCAAGAATGATGGCCGTGACGAACGAAGAGGTTGAGTACATCTTGGACGAGGATTCGCGGAAGAAGAGCGCACGCTTCATGGCGTACATGATTTCGACCTGTGACATGATGATGGCGGGCAAGACTGTGATCTGGAACATGACGAAGACCTTGTACTGAAGAGAAGACTTTGAGTTGTCCAAGTTGAGATACGTGAGACCAGTGATGATGGCGACAGCAATGTGAGCAAACAGACGAGTAAACAGGTAGTTGGGGGAGCGCCAGAAAGCTCGGAACATTCGTCGGACAACAACATTCATCTGGTGGTAAAGAGGAGAGGCGTACTCCTTTTCAAGCCCGGGGCTTGCCTGGGTAGCCGCCATGCGCTCTCGCTTCAGCTCGATGATGACATCCTTGGTATGAGCAAATTCAGGGCTATCTTCCCAGATATCAGCCCAGTCACGGTCACCGATTCGGGGCATGCTACCGGCACCGACGGCATCAAGCATGTACTCTGCAACGTTGTCGGTAGGGGCAGCTTCAGCACCATAGCGTGCCAAGTAGGCGCGCAGAACAGCGGCATCCTTGCCAATATCGCCAAAGTAGACAGTGCGTCCTCCTCGCTGCAGCAGCAACAGACGGTCGAAGTTTTGGAAAAGCGCAGCGTTGGGCTGGTGGATCGTGCAGAGAATTGCCTGGCCAGCGGCAGCCAACTTCTTCAGGAAACGGACAATGTTGAAGGCACTCTGACTGTCCAAGCCGGAAGTAGGCTCATCCAAGAACAGGAGCAACTCGGGCTTGGCGGCAAGTTCAACTCCAATGGTCACACGCTTGCGCTGTTCGACGGTCAAGCCAGCTTCAGGGGATCCAATGATGCAGTCGGCAATGTTCTCCATTTCCAACAAAGAGATGATCTCTTCCACATAGGCATGGCGCTCGGGGATGGGGGTTTCGAAAGGTTGGCGGAGTTCGGCAGAGAATCGAAGGGCTTCACGGACTGTCTGAGTGGGCTCATGAACATCGAGCTGCTCAGCATAGGAGGTGGATCGTTGGAATTGCTTTCCGGGCTTGACACCATCGACCAAAACGTCGCCATAGATAACACCAATGTTCTTTCTAGATGCCAAGACATCGAGGAGTGTGGTCTTTCCAGCACCAGACGCTCCCATCAAGGCGGTAAGTTCACCTGGCTTCACATATCCAAAAACGTTGTTGAGAAGACGTCGGGTACCACCGGGAACAGGCACATCGTAGTTGAGGCTCTCCCAAGTCAAAACGCTAGTCGAGTTAATGATCAACTCAGAACCTTCCTCGTTGGATCGATCCTTGCGCTTGGCGTCACGCTTGTCTGCCAAGGCTTTGTTCAATTCTTCTCGCTCCTTGTTAGGCTTTGCGTAAACCTTGAAGCTGTTTCCTCCCATGCCAAACTTGACAATCTCACCAAGGAGCACGTTTAGGAAGAGAAAGAACACAATCAGCGCCATGACAATACCCCAGTTGCGCCACAAGTCACCAGGAAGGTAATCGAAACCCTGAGAGATGTAGTCACGGCCTCGGACAAAGGTTGTGCCAGCGTTTGAACCAGGCAGAACACAGACTTGATGGTTGATGTCAGTATATCCAGGACCAGATGGAATAAGCGATTCGGCGGTACAGGTGAGATCAATTCTCTCGAACTCGTTCTCCATCAAAGAGCTAAATGCGAGACCCAAAATATTGATCCAATAGATCCAGCGAAGCCAGACTTTTTCGGATTGATACTGAATGAGATATCCGGACGTGGTGATGAAAAGCGTGATGATAACGACGGCAAACTTGATGGCAGAGTCGAAATCCGGACTGACACAGCCAAGAATTCGGAAAAAGAGCGTCATGCCAATGTTACCAGAGAGAATCATCAGATAGAAGGTGAAG